GGTTTTTGCCATTACTTTAGTGTAGGATGGTGGTCCCATTACTAAAGTAATGGCAAAAACCACAATTACTTGTGCACCAACCTAATTGTTGTTCCAGTTACACAAAATTGAATTCAGGTAGTTTGACTCTAGATCCTGCTCTCTTGTCACTATATTCTGATGCTTCTTTGCTCTATGTGTTTTTCTCAGAAAAGTCTCACAGATCCAGCTCCTTCTCTGGCTACAGTTACACAAGGTTACACACCTGGGCTCCAAAAGCAGATGGATTTGCATTGGAACCCTGGGGCCCCTGCCTGCTGTGTGACGTCAAACAAGGCTCCTGACCTTCCTGACCTTCTCTGCCTTTGATTCCTCATTGGTAAATAGGTACATACTAGCAACATCACAGGTTGGTTGTGAAATTACATCACAGGTTTTAAATGAAATAATACAAAGAAAAAGGGAATGAATAAAAGCTTAGCTAACCTACGTAAAGCTCTATGTACTTAATTGCTGTTATTATTATTATTCTATGCCAGTATAAGCCCTTAAATATTTCTACTGTGTTTCAAAAGATTTCTAACTGGTCTCCCTAACATAAGAACCAATAAATTCATTGTCTTGATTGTCAGAATTACATTTTAAAATGCCAAATCTGATCATGTCACTTCCCTGCCACAAAGCCTCTAATGTTCTAATTCTCTATTTGACTGCCTTTTATGCCATACTGAAGTATTGACTTAAAATGGAATCAACTTCTTTAAACTGGAATGACATCTTCTACCTTTCTCGTTTATTTCCTGCTGCTCTCCCAAAAGAACTATAGTCTTCATAAATGCCAAACTTATTCTTCCACAGACCTACCAGTCCCTTTGAGGCCTTTGGGCCTCTTTCTGTTTCCTGTTTCAGTACTTGCCCCATTTCATCTAGAAAACTCCTACTTGTCCTTAAGACCTAGCTCCTCATAATGGCTTCCTCTAAGTCAAAATTGAACGCCTCTCTGTGCTACAAAGAGTACTTTATTCACAGCGCTTATGACACGGAATTTACAATTACAGAATTGCAATTACTTTCCTCAGGGAAAAGTCCATTCCTGAATAAAAATCAATCAAATCCGGTGTGTTGTTGTACAGTGTCTGGTACATTATAGACATTCAACAAATACTGCTAAATGAATAATGTGTACTGTTTATAGTTTACAAGGTCTTTTCACATACTTAACTTATTTTCATCATATTATCATAACATATAAGCATAAGAGTTTGGATACAAGAAGCTGTTGTTATTACTATTATTATTAAACTGAGACTTAGTAAACATTTCTAGCGTTTTCCCCAATTGCAGAACTTTAAAAACACACAAAAATTACCACCAATATTTTAAAAAATAAAGGCTAAAGCTAGCATAGGGCTCATATTTTAAGAACACGGTCATTATATAGATCATGATAATTACCTGCGGGTATCGGTAAATATATTGCCGCTTGATAATTGTACTCCACTTCAAGTTCAGATTAGAGTGTTCCTTTAGTATGCCATGGAAGCAGCTATTTAAAGAGTCAGGCTAAGCCTGGAATGCGAGGAACTCTTTGGAATTACAGTGGCATTCCAAAGTCTTTGCAGTTTCCATCCATTTCTTTTCTGTGGCAATAACAATTAACTCAGTTTTAAATTATTTTTAACCAGTAGATTCTGCCATTTCCCCTAATTCCTTGAAAACAGTTGAGCAAATGTAAAACATACTTGATTTGAAATCCAGGGCAGTGTTTATCAAAATGTGAGTAAGGACTCATTAGTGATATGCAAAATCAACTGTGTAATTCAAGCAATTTAAAAACGGAATAGAATAGAAAAGAATAGGAAATACTAGAATGTGCTACATGATGTAGGGGTGTGATGTTTTGTGAAATCTTCATTTCGATTGTGTGTGTGTGTTTACTGAATTGTGACATAAAATATATTTCCCACTGTGGCATATATTTCCCACTAGATTGGGTCAAAAAAGTTTGAAAGCCACTACCCTATACAATATAGCAATATTGCACAAGGAGTGGGATCAATTCCAAGTAGTCACTTAATAAAATTGGTTTAATAACTTGATAACATTGTAATCATGTCCCCATTGGGGCCAAAGCTGCAATTATATTATCATAACCCCCAAAACATAATCAACACCTGATTCATTCACCAGACTTAACCTCAAATAACATTTAATTATTTCCAAAAATTAAACCCATCTCTAAGAGGTGACTATTTGCTACCACAGAAACTATGCAGAATAATTTGCCATAGATTATAAAGTCAATTCCAAAAAAAGTACTTTGGGGCTGAATGCGGTGGCTCACGCCTGTAATCCCAGCACTTGAGGAGGCTGAGGCAGGCAGATCATGAGGTCAGGAGATCGAGACCATCCTGGCTAACACGGTGAAACCTCGACTTTACAAAAAATACAAAAAATTAGCTGGGCATGGTGGCACATGCCTGTAGTTCCAGCTACTCGGGAGCCTAAGGCAGGAGAATTGCTTGAACCCAGGAGGCGGAGGTTGCAGTGAGTCAAGACCACGCCACTGCACTCCAGCCTGGGCAACAGAGCAAGACTCCGTCTGAGGGAAAAAAAAAAGCACTTTGGAAAACATGTGGAGCAAAAGCAATCACTAAAGTTAGATTCAGACCACTATCCATTTGTATGTTTATTATATTTAATTATAATCATTGCATAATTTTTTCTCAGTGAGACTTAGCCCCTATTGTACAGGAGCATTATTTTACTATTTCTGTCTTCTTAGTGCCTTTATATATGTATTATCCACCACACAAGGGACATTTAATAAATATCAAGGAGGTGGTATTCATTTGGAATATATACGTTGTGAAACATAATGAATGACACAAGGTCACAGCCTATGCTAAGGCTATTCACGCTTCTTTAAAGAATGTACTTTTCAAAGTCTGTCAGCTCTACAAGGTAGGGCTTTATTGGAGTTTAAAATGTATACCTTTTAAAATCAAAGGAATACAATTTAAAAGCAAAATGATACATTCCTTTGATATTAGAATATCATGGATGCAAGCAGAGAAATAAGTGCTATCATACAATGCTTGTGATAGGTAAAACTGAGGTAGTTTGGAAATACATACTAAAAATCTTTAAATATGTTTACTCTTTGATGCAGAAATTTTGCTTCTAGTTCTTCATTCTATGGAAAAGTAATGATCTTCAATTATGCATAGAGGGTTAAACTGAGTGCTGTTTACTATAGATAAACATGTCTAATACTAGGAAATAAGTGAATTATTTAATTCAATAGAATAATATGCAGTCATAAAAACCATGGTATTCAAATATATTGGCATATAAAGGGATTTAGGAGACATACTGTAAAAACCAGAAAACAGAGCTGTAAACTACAGAATATCTTTCAAAAACATTTTTATGTAGTAATAGTCACATAATGAAATTAACATTTTAAAAGTGAATAGTTTAGTGACTATTTAGTACGTTCACATTATTGGGCTACTGCCACCTCTGTCTAGTTCCAAAACTAGATTTTCATCATTCCCTAAGGATGTTTGCGCCCATTACCTTCTCTTCCAGCCCTTGGTAAATACCAATCTGTGTTCCACTCTATGAATCTACCCATTCTGATATTTTATATGCATGGTATCATACAATATATGACCTTTTGTCTCTGGCTTCTTTCATTTAATGCTTTGGAGTTTCGTCCACCTTGTAGGGGTCCTTAATTCCTTTTCATGGCTAAAAATATTTCATTGCATATATATATCCCACATTTTGCTTCTCTGTTCATCAATAAATGGACATTTGGGTTGTTTCTACCCTTTGGTTATCAGGAATAGTAGTGGTATAAAAGGGTGTACTGCAGAATATCATTTTAATGATACAAGTATTAGCAGCCATTATTTTTGCGTGGACGGATTACAGGTGAATTATTTTATGCTATTTAGAACATTGGGCTTTGGAATTAATCAGAACAGATTCCATTTCCTCACGTGTAAAGTGAGGAAAACAAAACCTACGTAACTGAATGATCATGAAGAGTAAATAAATACGTATATGTAAAGCATTTAGAAATGTGTGGTTGGGGGGAGCACATGGTAAGGACTGAATGTGTAGTATTTAAAAAAAAAACTTTAAAACATCTTGGTTTTTTTTTAATTAGCGTTAAAGTCTTTTTTTTTTTTTTTTTTTTTTTTTTGCTAATGTACTTGTATGCTACACAATTAAGATGCATGGTTCCCTTCGCTGATGGTCATTTGGCCTAGTGCCAAAAGCTGCTGGATTGTTTGATCTGATGACATCCGTTTGACTAAGTATAGTTCTACACTGTAACTCTCCCTCCAAGTTTCAATTAAAATAATGTTCCAAGCAGCGTATTCTCCAGCCCCTCTGCCACAGCTCCTTTTCCATTCTAGTTTTTGTTTCAGCATCACTTTCTATGTTGCAGACGCCAACTACCCAGGTTTTACATTTTAGGAACTGCATGACAGGGACAGAGGGACAGGTGAAGGGCACAGGCTCTCTCATACACTGCTAGCAAAATACATTACGATCAGGTTTAACCAAACACATACAATTTCTCCCACAATGTCCCTCTTTTTACTCCCCAGAAAATCTCATTGTAAACTCAAACTTTGCCAAATATGCTCATCTTGAACTCAGCAGAAGGGTTTTCCGTCGGGAGCCAGCCGGGCTGCGGGAGGCGCCCTCCTGCCACCCCTCCAGCCCCACCCCTGGTGTGGGAAGCCCGAGTTCGCGCCCGCAGTCCCCGCAATCCCTGGGCCGCCCCAGCGCGGGAGTTTCGAGGGGAGCCGGGGGAGAGCTGCGGCGTCACGTGGGGGGCCACCCGGGGACAGACGCCTGGGGCTGAGTCGCCCGGCGAAGCCACCGCAAAGGGGCCGCAACCCCCAGAGCTCGACCCTAGGCGTTCACGAAGGCCTCACGGAGAGGGGGAGCCCGCCCGCCCGTCCGTCCGCGCCCGCACAGGTGTTCGGGTGGCGGCGCCCGGCCCCGCCGGCGGACCCGCGAGAGGCGGGCGGGGGCGCGCCTGTACGCCGGGGCCGGGGGCCGGCGGGGGAGGTTCCCGCGAGGTGGTTCTCGGGCTCCTCCTCGGCGCCTCAGGTTTCCTCTCTCCGCCAGCCGGCTGCTGGCTGCGGCGCCGCCTCTCTTTACTCCCTCCTCCCTCCTCCCGCCGCCCCTCTTCCCCGCGGTTGGGCCCACTCTGCGGCCTCTGCCCGCCTCGCCCTCGCCCGGGCCTCCTCCCGCTTTCTCTCTCCGCTTCCCCTGGAGCCTCCGAGGAGTCCAAAGCCGCGGGGCGCCCGGGAAGATGGCGGCGGCGGCGGGAGACGGCGGCGGGGAGGGGGGCGCGGGCCTGGGCAGCGCGGCGGGGCCGGGGCCGGGGCCGGGGCCCGGACTGCGCGGGCAGGGCCCCTCAGCCGAAGCGCACGAGGGCGCCCCGGACCCGGCGCCCGCCGCGCTCCCCCCTGAGGAGGTCGCCGCACGGCTGCAGCGGATGCGGCGGGAGCTGAGCAACCGCAGGAAAATCCTGGTGAAAAACCTGCCCCAGGACAGTAACTGCCAGGTACGGGGACGGTGCTGGGGGCGACGCGTCCCGGGGGGCGGCGGGGCGGCGCTCCGTGTCCAGGCTGGGATAAGGGGCGCCTCAGAGCGGTCCTGGGGAGTGGTCGGCTCCCTCGGTTTGACGGAACTCTTGGGGTTTCTAGCCTGCAGACGCCCTGCCAGGGAGGGGGGCAGATTGGGAAACTGAGGCTCTGAGAGGCGAAGCGGCTTCTCCAAGGTCACGGGAATCAGGGGCTGCTGCCTCCAAGTTCGGCCCGCTCTTTCCTTCTCCTACGGCCCGTAGAGGAGTAGGAGGAGAAGGAGAGTGGAGGTGAGTTGTGGAGCACACATTTTACTGGGGGTGGGTAGTGGGGGCGGAAGCTTCGGGACCACTTTGACAGGAGCGGGGGCTCCCGCGTAGAGTCCCCGGGGCTCGGAAGTGCCATAGGGGGGCAGGGGCACGAGAGAGCTGGGAGTGAGTTTCGCTGCTGTTGCAGCAGCACTTGACCAAGTTTCTATGAAACAACTCAGTCTCCTCAGTTTGCTAAGGCCCCAGAATAGAGTTATTGCTGCGCTCCTTGGAGCCTTGAAGCCGCCTCCTGCTATGCCAAGTACAGTACTGGAGGATTTGTTCCTCAGTAACTTGGATGAGATTTAAAGATAGCGACTCTGTGTCTTTAATCCAGATTAACTGTTGTTTTTAAGATTAGAAACTCTGCATCTATTTAACTTTTTTTTTCTTTCCTGATTTCAAAAGCTGCATGCGCATTATAGGAAAGCTAGGAAAGACAGAGAAGCACAAAGGGGAAACACAGAAATTACCCATATTTCTGATACCTAAAGATAACCATTGTTATCCTGGGATGTTGTCCTTTTCTCTTTTCCTATGCATATATATTTTTATTTTACCAAAAACATGAAATCATTTCTTTGATTCTTCAGGATTTCTTTGCTGTCTGGATGTTCACACATGTTTCACATATAACCTGAATTTATATATTGCACTGTGTGTGGTGGGCTATCCTGGTAGTTGCGGATTTGGGCTAACTTGTGTAGTTCCTCCTGTAACCGGATGCATGAAATTGCAAGAGGGCTGGCTATTGACAATTGCATGGCAGTTCTTCCATGTGACTTATAAAATAATGAGACTAATGCCCCATTACTATGTAATGAGACCTTACTTAGCCCTTCACAATAAATATGAACATATAACCTTATAACCCGTAGGCATGAGGGGGTATTTTGTTTCAAAATGCAATGTCTGTCAATATTGTTTATCTCATCTGTCTTTCAACTCTTTCCATTCCGCCATGGTCCACTTCCCATCTGTCAGGTAATGTTTTGTGATACTACCTGTTAAGGACACCTGCAGTGGACTGATTTCTTGGAAGCAGCCTCCCCTGCCTATACAAATAGAGGACTGCAAGGGAGCTCAGGAAGGAGGAGGCTTGGAAGAAGCAGATGGCATTTTTTAAAAAAACAAATTTAAAAAATAGCAGCTCTTTGTATAGACAGTCTAGGAGAAGAGAAATAGAGAAGTATCTCAATGTCTTTGTAGAATGTCAGCTGTTTTGGTTATCACAATTCCTTGCATTAATTCTAAAAATATTTAGACCCCAAATTCAAGACGTTCTGTCTATTCTTGCTTTGCTGTTGGTATCTTTCTCATTTCCCTTCGCAATAGACATGAAAAATATACCAAAGGGTCTAATAAAAGGAACAGTTTTAATTAGTGATAGAGGCTTTCTGATAATTACGCTGGGATTTGTATTTTTCAGATTTCATCTACTTTTTCTTAAACTAATATTTTCATGAATATGTTCTGCATGATTTTTTTTTGGTATTTTGTGTTTTAACAATTTCCCTTAATTATAATGTCTGCTTTTTCTTATGACTGTGTTTTACTGTCAACTTACTAATGAAAGTTTAACTTTATTTTATTTTGTGTCTTTTTGCCAGTAAGGCCTACATAAAATCACCTGTGCTAAAACTACGTATTTACCCTTATGAAATCATTAATAGGGTTTTTGTTCAATCATTAAGTAATCAGATATTTTTGAAATACTAAGTTCTTGTTCTTTTCCAGAAGAGTCTGTGTTTATTCATTCATTTCTTTCTTTTTTTCTTTTTTCTGAGACGTAGTCTCACTCTGTCACCCAGGCTGGAGTGCAGTGGTGCGACCTCAGCTCACTGCAACCTCTGCCTCCCAGGTTCAAGTGATTCTCCCTGCCTCAGCCTCCCAAGTAGCTGGGATTACGTAAGCCTGCCACCGTGCCTGGCTAATTTTTATATTTTTTAGTAGAGATGTGGTTTCGCCATGTTGGCCAGGCTGGTCTTGAACTCCTGACCTCAGGTGATCCGCCCGCCTCGGCCTCCCAAAGTGCTGAGATTACAGGTGTGAGCCACTGCGCCTGGCCTCATTTCTTTATTTTAGAATATCACTTTAAGGATCAAAGACATTCATAACTCTAGTTCTCAAACTGTATTTATGTTTCTAGAAAATACTGATTAATAACTTACTAGTAGAAACCCAATAATTTCTTCTTACCCTTTGAAATATATGGGTGTTTTCTTTATTAAATGTAGTTTTCATAAATCTCAAATTTTGTTTTATTTTTTGTATAGCAGATTTATAATAATAGCATCCCACAACTTTATAGTTCCTATAATTAAAAGGCACACTGAAAGTATTATTTTTAACTGGAAGCTTTTAGAGGTATGTTTATCAAATACCTTATAGAAGTACTGGCTCTAGAAAAACTGAACACCTTTATATTAAGTTCTCAAAAGCTTTCTCACTGAGTAATTACTGTGCATTCAGTCAAGCTCTGTCTGGTCTGCCTAAGCTTTCTGGAATCTTCTTGGCCCTCTTTGTTTTCACAGCCTCAGCTCTGGTTCAAGTCCTTTTCATCTCTTGTTCACTGTTACAACTTTTCAGTTTGTCACCTACCTTCATTACTGTCCTGTTTCTTACATTTTAGCTCCTTCTGCATGCTGCTTCCCTTGAGGGATACTCCCGAAGCACAAATCTGATCATGTCACTCTCCTGCTCATAAAAAAACTTCTCCTCAAATTGTCCTTAACAGTAAAGAACAGTGAATCTGAATTAGACTGTTGCAAGACTGAAATTGCTTTGAAGTTTTGTATTCTGTCTGAAAATTTTATATTAATTTTATGTTCTATTAGTAACATTGAATTTAACATAAAAACAGCATTTAACTCCCAAATTTTTTTCATAAACTTGACATGGAAAATGTACTATATTTGACTTTTGTTTTTCCATATTTCTGTATTACCGTGGAGTACTCAGATCTCAGTTTGAAAAGCATGAAACGATAGGACAGCAGTTTTTAGATTTTTAGGCTTTTTGTGACTTGGCCCCTGCCTACATTTCCAGTCTCATTCCTTTTTAGTTTTTATTTATTTTTTTTGAGACAGAGACTTGCTCTGCCACCTGGACTGGAGTGCAGTGGAATGATCACTGCTCACTGCAGCCTTGACCTTCCAGGCTGAAGTGATTCTCCCACCTCAGCCTCTCAAGTAGCTGGACTACAGGCATATGCCACCATGCCTGGCTAATTTTTTAAAAATTTTTTGTGGAGACATGGTCTCTCTATGTTGCCTAGGCTGGTCTTGACCTCTTGGACTCAAGTGATCTTCCTGTGTTTGCCTCCCAAAGTGCTGGGACCACAGGTGTGAGCCACTGCACCCAGCTATCAGTCTCGTTTCTGATTAGTCCCGCATTGGATTCTGTTCATTTCTGATTAGTCTTGCATTGCATTTTTTGTTTGTTTGTTTGTTTGTTTTTTGAGATAGATTCTCGCTCTGTCACCCAGGCTGCAGTGCAGTGGTGTGATCTTGGCTCACTGCAACCTCCGCCTCCTGTATTCAAGCAATTCTTCTGCCTTAGCCTCCAAAGTAGCTGGGATTACAGGTGTGTGCACCACGTGTGGCTAATTTTTGTACTTTTAGTAGAGATGGGGTTTCACCATGTTGGCCAGGCTGATCTCGAATGCCTGATCTCAGGTGATCCGCCTGCCTTGGCCTCCCAAAGTGCTGGGATTACAGGCGTGAGCCACCACGCCCAGCCACTCCTGCGCTGGATTCTGTTCCACCTTTATCAAACTACCTAGATCCCCAAGTACCTCATGCCACTGTGATTTGAATATTTATACTTATGTCTTTGTTAGTGTTTTGGAATGTATTTATAGTGAGTAATTTATACTGAATAATATAATTATTTTTAATGAATCATTTATAGTCAATAGTGATGTTGCAAACACTGGTTCCTATTCATAGCCATTGTATATGTGTGTGTCTGGTCTTTTGCAACTGAATTTAGAATTTTGATTAGTTAAGGTAATGTTTTAATATTTTTTCTAATATATGTGTTATTGTATTTCTGTAAATTGTATTATGGTTAACCTGGTTCTGTTTCAATATCGTTGTCATTGGGATTTCAAAATGGAGAAAACAGGGGCATTTGCTTCTTAGACTGTTTGTGTTCCCTTAGGTTTTTTTTCTTACAGGTCTTATGTGTGTGCATGTGTTTTGTTTTTGTCATATTGTTTACCCTAAAATCTGGAAGAGATTCTGTTGTGTAATTAGAAGACGATGTGAAGTGCTTAGGGCCAACATTCAGGATCAGTAATAGAGGAAGCAAAACATTCTATTGTCTCACTTTGGATATTATAAACTTACATTTCAAAGTACTCTAATATGATAGTTAATTTGAGAAGCTTGATGGTGAATTCACAGAGATCCATTTGAAATCATAATATTACCAAATAAGCACTTTTTAGAATCACAAACCACCAAATGTAAGAAACTCTAGTTAATCTTTTTTCGTAATTAATTTTTTTTCCGCTCTTTCTTTTTCTTTTCTTTTCTTTTCTTTTTTTTTTTTTTTAACGAGACAGAGCAAGATCACTCTGTCTCCGAGGATGGAGTGCAGTGGTGCGATCCTAGCTCACTGCCGCCTTAACTCCTGGGCTCAAGTGATCCTCCCATCTCAGCCATCTG